CCATGAAAGCACCTAATGTGCTGCCCACGTATCTCCTCAAGGGTATTCCTCCTACTTGCTCCAATACCAACAGAGAAGCTCAGACCACGACTGATCTTTAGAAGAACTTTGCAGCCTTTCCTACCTTGTTAGTCCTCCATAAGCAATTCTTTGCTCTTTGGGTGTATAAATCTCCATGCAACACTGTGTCAAACACTTCCAAAACCCTGGAGAATTGAGCCCCAAAGTGCTTCCCTTGTCTGAAAATCAGCAGTCATTGAGCAATTGGGATAACCAAGGTTTATCTTGTGCTTTATTAGGTAGTAAAATAAGATAATCTGAGAGACATCACTTAGACTTTCACCTTAGCAGTAACTATGTCTGTTGAAGGCCTCAAGAAAGCCAGTGGGTATACAGCAGGATAAAAGTGAAAACCCTCCAAGGTGTTCCAATGGTCACTTTGTCCTTACAGCTTGATGGCCAATACAGAGTTTTGGGGAAAAGACAGAAAATGAGGAAGATACTAAGAAATACATCTGGGAAAGGGGCAGGTGACAGTGGGATTTCTGCCATCCCATATGAAGACAGTGCAGGAAATACAGGACGGATAGCATCCCGTATGTTTCCAATGTAACTCACAGTCTGAAATACAGGAAATCTCACGTTACATGGATGTCTAGCAACCCTACCTTGTGGAACACCGTGGGTGCTGGACCAGAGCCTGAATTCCTCCTCTGCTTCCAGCTGATATTACACACATTGAGGCCACACTGGTCAGATCTCAGAGGGTACTGATGCTCAAGCCTCAGCTTGAAAGTCATGGATAAGATCTACCACAGTCCTGCATCCCTTCAGTTGCATCTCACACTATATTAAGGCTCCAGGCAGCAGGCGGCTCCCAGGCTCATGTAATGCGTGGGGGGAAGCTCTGTATGAGTCCAGCAACTGAGGTGAGGGAAAACATGGCAAGCTCCAGGCCAGGCCATGCCAAGCACCTCCTTAGAGCCTCAAGCAGGTAGTTCACAATAACAGGAATCAGCTTGTTGAGAAAGGACAGGGAGTGTCATGCTGCCCGAAGAGGGGATCTCTTCCAGCTGGCTGCATACATCAGCCTGCTCCAGCCCTTGATGCTGTGTGCTAATACTCCTAGCCATTTCATCAACCTCCTTCACTTGCATTGAACCAAACAACACTAGCACAGTGCAGTGACATCCTATCCAGGTGATGCATCTGCCCACAGTTACCTCTGGTGAGGTTACTGGAGTCCCACTGGAGGGGTTTGTTCTGCTTGGAGAGCAGAGCAGTCTGGGCAAGCTGACGGTAGCTTGATCTTTACTGCAGATCCCTCTCTGTGTTTTCTTAGGATTCCTGCTATTAGCGAGAGCAGCACAGAGGTGTTTTCACAAGGCAAGGAAAGCACATGATTAAAAGAAGAAAAAGCCTCTGATCTTCTCTGAGCAGAGTGTTTGGCATCGCTTGCTCTTGCAAGTCATGCAGCAGAGCATTGAGTCCCTAGGAGCACGCAGAGCTGCTTGTGACCACTTCACTGGTCAGGTCTGCTAGGCCACTGAGTAGGATTTAGGAGACTGAGATGTGAATATGATTTGGAAGCATATACAGCTGTTACAAGTGTGGATGGCTTCATGAGGAAGGGGGACAGTGATGCTCTTGTGTCAGGCAGGGCCCGGGCTGCCACTACACACAATGCACCAAGCACCAGGACTACACACTGCCTATCTACCTTTGAATCATAGACCTTGCATGATCCTGAAATGCAGGTGTTGAAGGTGATGTCTGCAAGTCTCTACCAAGAAACCAAAAGGATCAGTTAATCACTGTTGGAATAAAGAGTGAGTAGGAGTCAAGGTGATAGCTGCTTGTGAGGTGCTCTATTTCAACACCTACAGGACTAAGTTCACAGCTCCCTAGCCAAGAAAATACAAAGCAAACGGGAAAGGATATGTGAAACAGAGCTGCTTCTCTTTCCTGAGCTCTTTCAGGGAACAAGATGCAAACTGAACTTCCAGAACGTGAGTTTCTCAAAGGGAAACAGGAGGGACCTTGAAAGCCCATCCCACAGCAGTATCCCTGAAGGGCCAAACCCTTGCATCAGGGATGCCTTTTACTCCAATCAACCGAATTTCCTAATGGTCAGCAGGCATCAAAAGAAGGTGGCACTGCTGAAGGTCCTGCGCCATAGCTGCAGCTGTAAGGAAGTGCACAAGTGGGCTTGCTCTGTGCTTCACAACCACTCAGGGACAAGCCCCTCACCTTAAAGTGCAGTGCACAGTATGTTGAATCAGTGATGGCAAGCAGATCTGGCTTCCACTTACCCCACTGCAAGCTAAGGGCAGTCAGTTCAGTTTCTTAAGGGTTACCCAACAGAAGGGAGCAGGGTTTGTGCTGTACCCCCCCCCGTATCCAATGTGGAGCCATGGAGCCAGCGCACATCTGTGCGGCAGGACTGAGCACACAGTCAGGGATGGGATGCTGCCAACTGAAAGCAAGGACAGATGGGGGGGGGGGGGGGGGGGAACAGCAGCAAGCTGCAGCAATCCAACAGCAATCCTGGGGAAAAGACACCTGAGCCCAGCAAACCTTGAGGGGAATTCCTGTCAGCATGGGGAGGCATGCCCAGGTACCCCCCTGCTACACAGGGAGCCAAGACAAACACGTGCTGTGAGAGCAGGCGCTGTGACAGTCACACCTGCAGGCTCCCCTTTGCACAACCAGCTCATCCCAGGGAGCCCAGCCAGCACCCCCCCCATAGCCCATCCCCACCATGGAATCCCAGGATCAGGTCTCCTCCCTGGTGTTTCTAAAGAGCTTGGTCCCGTAGACGATTGTCCTTCAGGAGTTTGCAACCTCTGGCAGAACTCAAGCCTCTCTAAGCAGTAATTTACATCAATTATAGTTGTGCTACTCAGTCCCTTCTTTACCAAGATACCCTTAACACCTCTTTTCAGTGCTGTCCCTAAGCTGTCCTGCCTGCAGAGTCCCCTACAGGATCTCCTCCGTATGCCATATCCCACAGACACCCCAAGGCCATGGGGCTCCTTGTCCTTTCCCTGGCCATTCTGTTCCTGCCATTTGACAGCACCTTCAACAAACTCCTCTGTTCCTGGCAGATCCATCCTTCACCCCATACAAATCCATCTTGCCCCGTACCAACCATTTCATCACATGATGACCAGAAGTTATGTCAACCAGAACCAAAACCAAATCCATCCAATACATCCAAACAACGTCTGCGACCTCCGTGTAGGTTTCCCTCAGCTTCATCAACATGCTGTCTTGTAACAATGCTGGCAGCAAATCCTGCCTCTGATTTTAAAGATAGCAAAGCTTCTTCAGCGACTCAGCCACTTATTATTCAGGTGATAAACCCTGAGCATCTACACATCTCTCCCCACATCCACATCCTGCAAACTGCCCACCGCAAATGGCAGTAAATCCACACCTAGCTGCCACCACAACATGCATAGCTGGGTCAGCAGCTGATGCTTGGAGACCTTTCATAGAATCATAGAATAGTTAGGGTTGGAAAGGACCTTAAGTTCATCCAGTTGCAATCCCTTGCTACGGGCAGGGGTGCCCCACACTAGACCATGCTGCCCAAGGCTGTGTCCAACCTGGCCTTGAGCACTGCCAGGGATGGAGCAGCCACAGCTTCTCTGGGCACCCTGTGCCAGCGCCTCAGCACCCTCACAGGGAAGAGCTTCTGCCTTATATCTAACCTGAACTTCCATAGTTTCAGTTTAAACCCATCACCCCTTGCCCTACTGCTACGATAGAGAAGATGTGAGGAACTTCCCCCTCCCAAGTCCGTATGTGCCCAGTGCCCGCTGTGCACCCCATGGCTGCATCACTGCAGCGGTTGCATAAAGGAGGCCCTTCTCTTGGTCTGCCTACCCTTGAAAGAAACCTTATTCATTTTTGCAGTCACCTGATGAATTGAGAGTGAAACCTCAGCATCAGGCAGGAGGTCTTGAGGTCTCCATGTACCACACATAGTCTGGTTTGAAGGTGAGGAAACCAAAAGCAGGACAATTTCTCACGCATTCAAGTTAGCAGTAACTTTCCTATTAGGGCTTTTAGGCTTAATAGGGGGAAGAAAGAAAGGTGGAGGCACCAGCAGCAAAGCAACCCATGGAGGGGGGGGGAGCAGGCGGTACCCACTGCTGCCACGCAATAGACCCATGGTCAAGAGAAAGCCAAAAGCAGCACTGCTGCCCATCACAGTCAGCGGTGTGGTTTGCAGGCACAGAGCCAGGCAGGCTCTGTGAAGGGAAACAGGGAGGGAAAGGAGGAAAGAGAGAGGAAAAACAAGAAACCCACCACCCCCCCAACCACCCTGCACTGCAATGTAATAAACAGCAGCAGTCTGCACGCACCGTTCATGGAAAACCCTCTCCGTTACCCCTGGACAACTGTATTTTTATCCTGTGGCTTTCTGTTTTCGCAGCCGCATTCCAGCACGAAACCAGAGACAATCCGCCCCACCGAGCAGCCCAGTTTATTTTAAGGGATGTAACATTTCCCTGCGAGGATGCTCTATTTGCATCGGCTGCAGGAAGCAGTAAAATGGCAGGTGTGTTTCCAGCTAACCCAGAGACACAAACCAAAGTGCCCAATGCAAAGCAAACGCTTTTGTCTTGCAAATCTCTGCAAAGAAACAACACATAATGAGAATTAAAAACAGGGAGGGAGAGGGGTTTTCCCCGGGGCTTCTTTTCTGGCTCTTTAGTCCTGCAGATGCTCAAGCCCTATTTGCCAGGCAGGAGGTTCATGCCCACTGGCAGCAGGCAGCAGTCGCAGGCTTAACCGCTGCTCCCCATTTGCATGAGTGGAGAAGTTGTAATTGGTGCGGTACATGCTGTGCCTTGCAGGGAGCGTGAGCTCCTTCCACATTCACCCTTCAGCAAGGAGCTCCTTCAGGAGCGCTCACTCGGGGTGAGCTGGAGGACAGAGCAAGTAAATGCATTTAAAACGTGTATCTATACACATATATATGCCCCTACCCGTTTTGACTGCAGCTTCTTTAAGCCACAACTTCTTCAGCGCACCGCATCGATTTGACTCGCCCTTGCTACAAGCCTGTTGTGGTTATTTCCTTTGAGCACAAGAATACAGCGAGTTTTCTGGATGTTACAGAAAGGAATTCAAAATGTTTGTGCTCCTCTGTTCCAGCCCGAAACTATGGGAAAAACTGTAATTTTAAGCTTTGCATAAAAACATACGTACCATTCTGCCCTGGCAGGTTATTACCTACTGTAGGAGATATCCCTGCCCATGACAGGGGGTTGGAACTATACGAGCTTTAAGGCCTTTTCCAACCCAAACCAGTCTGGGATTCTATGATTCTACCTCATTGTACAAAGGTAAATGAGAAAAAGTGAGCTATGACAGAGAACACCTCTTGAAAACAGCATTAGATATTTAAAAGAAAAGGCCTTTTTTAAGAAGAATTGCTATTACTCCCCTGGCAGCATCACAAAAGTAAAAGCCAAGAGCTTAGTAAGATACCAGGAACACTACAGCATTTGCAAGAATAAGCAACATTATTTAGTGTTGTATTATGTAGGTTGATGTGCCACAAAGGATGAGAAAGCAAGCATTAGCTGCTTGTGGGCTTAGAAGGAAGTTGCCCAGAAAAATGCAAGTTGTCTACAGCACATTGGTATTTTAATAAAAATCCAAGTGAAAAGCATTTTTATGGGTACAGGAACACAAAGGGCAAAACTGGCAAAATCTTTTACCTGGAAGCTTTCAGGAAATGGAACTATTTTGGACTTCTCCTATTCTCTAGAATTTCTGAGATAACCTCATGGGTCTTAGGGCTGTTTTTACTTTCTCATTCTGCAGAGGACCACCCTCCTCCACTTCCTCCATCCTTCTGCACACTCATCTCTTCCCTCTTCCCTACTATTTATGGCCCTGCAACCCTTTCCTGTTTTCCTTTTCATTACAGCTCATGGTTTAAGACTTGTTTCATGGGAGCGAGGAGGTTTCTGTGACCACGTCTGGATGGGCTGAAAAGCCACGGGGCTGATCTGGCCTCCAGGCAACACTGCCCTGTAAACCTTAAGGAAACAGTAATGTCTGTGTATAATGCAGAAGAGCATCGCTTTCATTGAACCCTGAAAGCTTAAACATCAACCTTGTGTTTTCACTCTGACTCTTTATGTGTGGGCAGAACTACTGGCATGAAAGGGATAGGAAACACCCTCCTGCTGCGAGGGTGCCTTGGCCAGCATGGAGAGACACTAAACCCCACTGAACATACCCAACCCACCTCCTGAAGCTCCCCATCACCAGCAATGGAGCCAGGTGCCCTCTCACACCTCGCCTCTACCAATGCTGCACCCATGTGTGCTCCAGCCTCCTGCCTGTGACTAAGCACAAGGTGAGTCCTCATAGTTGATAGGACAAGCGCTTATCTCCAAGGCTCAGTTCACACGTGAATAGAAAGGCGACTCAGCTGCATGCTCAGAGCCTTCTCTGACTGAGCACAGGGGCACCATCCACACAACCACCCCTGCAGCCTCGCAGCGGAGGTGACACAGTCAAGCTCCACCAACATAACTTCTTATGAGGGAGGCTGCCTCATAGCAAAGTCACCCTGCGGAGGCAAGAGCCTCGTTTGCTAAACCTCACTTAACTGCTCACATGATGGGAGGGATGCAACGCACAGGCTTGGGAAGGTGTAAAGGAAAGGGCTGGTGGAACACAGCACTGCATGGGGCTCAGTTTGCTCATTGGGAAATGAGAGAGGGGAGGGCAGCTCCTCTGGTATTGTGTTACTGACAAATAATGTCACTCTGCCCTGCATTACACGGTCAATGACTAAAAGATTGTAGGCGCCTCCCTAAGGAAAGTGTGCAAAGGCAGAGCTGGCAGAAGACACCCTGTTTTCACTGTGTCAAAAGAGGCAGAATATCATTTTATTTCATGTACAGGGAGCTATTCCTACAGTTTCCCATTGCAGAGAGCCCAGAAAGTATTAAACTCCCATTACGGAGACTAGCAGCAAAATAAAGGGACAGTTTGTGCCCTGCTCCCATGGAAAGGTTAAGGGGATCTTTGGGTTAAAAAACCCAGTTGCAAGATCTGGGGTGCAAGTGCAGTCCCCTTCTCCCTAACTCCCCTGCAGCTCCAGCGTTTCATGTTCTGTCATCCCAGCTTTCCAGCGTAGGATGGACATAATCCCTCTCACCCTGTTCCTGTGAGAACATGGTGGGGTTTCATGCACGAGCAGGACAAGGTGCAGGACATCCAGTCTAGGTCACGCTTTGCCTAGAAAGCTTGGACCAGGTGATTCTAGAGGCCCCTTCCAACCTGGTATTCCATGATTCTGTGATTCCTATACATCCTCTTTCTTGAAAGAGGAAAATCCTCCCTGATGCTCACAGCAAGTCATTTAACCTCACCAATGAACCGGTGAATCTCCATCCAAACCGCATCACAGAGAAACGTTTAGGACCAGACTTCACCTCATACCAGTGGGAGCATCTCCCATCTCATCTTTTCTCCTGCGCTGCTTCCTGCACACTGGCTGAGCTATTTCTTTCAATTGTTTCTAAATGTGCTGACCATTAGTGACAAAGTGACCTCTTTGCCCCAGTTTTATGACGCAGCATAAAGAAAAGATGCAGCCAGCTTCCCTTCAGACTTCAACTACCCACATACTCCCAAGTCTACGCCTTTGCCCTGACATCAGCTGCAAGTGCAAGGATTTGAAGTTACCAGCTGTAATCTTGTCCTTATGTCCAAGCATATTTAAAAATACTTGATCCTAATTGTTCCCCCTGCGATTTATTTCACACAAAAGCCCCCTGCTTGAAAAACCTCCACCTGAATTCCTGACATGCCCAAACCTTCCATTCATTTGAGCCCACACTCACTCATGCTCATCGCTGGCCCAGTAACATTGGGAATTCATTACCTCTAATTCCCCACATCCAAACGCCATTGAGGCTAGTCCCCACTTTTGGCAACCCTTCTGGTACATTGACCAAGCATATTTGGCCTCATAGAACCCTGCCAGCCATAAATACACTGTTCTCGTCCACCCAAAGAGGAGGACAAGGCAACAAAGATTTAACACATCTTTGTGCATTGTGGTGGCACAGCTTACTTCTTCAGTGCTCACATCTTTTGGAGAGGGTGCCTGAAGATCTCACCTGGCCCTGCAATCTTACAGGCTTTGTAGCCTGGATGCAACACTGAGTTTTGCTTAGCTTCAAAAGAGTATAGACCTTGTGGTGGCAACAGGCATCCCAGAGGAACAGCACGATGCTGTGATTCAGACCAGGCCTTAGAGGCATCTCATGGCATGACCCCACACCAGGAGGCACTTTCCTAAGAGCTTGATGCACAGCTCTGCTTGCTGCAGCATCAGCAGTTTTTGCATGAAGTTGTGTTTGGGTTGCAAACAGCCTTCAGCAAAGCTGTCTGCAAGAGAAGGAAGGGAGGAAGGATGCATCCTGCCAGGGTGCCTGGGGTACAGACACTGATGTTCTCAGCCCAGGCCCCACAGCAGCTCTCTGGGACACCCTGCTGTTGCTCCTGGTACAGACCACGCAGCTTCCCAGGTTTTCATACGGAGAAAACAGAGCTTAAGCTGATACTGGAGATCCTGCCTCTGCATTTCACTGCTCTGCACAGATTTGCGTGGTCAGTGCCCAGGCAAGTGCAAGCCCTCAGCTCCACATCTCAGGCGCTTCCCCACAAGGTTGTGCCTGGGCACATGCACACAGGGCTCAGCTTTCTAAGAAGTCTGAAGGAAACCCTGAGCTGCTGACTAAGCCCCCAAATAAATGGGGCTGAGGAGTTCCAGCAAGTTGCTGAGAGCTGAAAAGGCTCGTTAATCCTCACCCAAATCTACCAACCTTACAAGCCCTTTGATGCTACAAACACTGTGTGCTTTAGCACCCTTCACAGCTCCCTGGATTCACTTCACCCCCTTAAACAACAGATTTCTCTTTCCTGGGGAGCTCCAAGCTTCCTTCCCTACACATTGCTCATTTCCTTAAGAGTAATAACTTGCCTAATGCCACTCCACGCTACTCAGGGCAGGGATGCCACATCCACCAGCAGTAGCTCTTCACATGGTGGTGCAGCCCGCAGGATGCCAACACTGGCCTTGAGTCAGAAAACCATTTAGAAGCATGATTAAGTACAACATTATCCAGGATGGCAATTAAACACATGCTTACAGGCAAGCACATGCTTAAACGCTGTCCTGGATGGTGATGCTTTCGGAAATCAGGGCCCCTTCCAAGGGAGATGCAGTTGCTGGGTGGATTAACACCGACTTGTTTGTACTGCTGCAGTCTGCTGAAGTGTGAACCAAGCGGGGAGAAAGGAAACATGGAAAGCTCTCACCTCGCCTGCCTACATCAGGCAGCTGGGCTCTGCTACAACTCCATGTACTCGGAATTATTCTCCACATCTCATGGTGCCTGAGCAGAGCCAAACCACTGTGATGTACCCAACCCATCTGCATCCAGTCCCAGGTTCAGGGTCCTGTCTGGCAGCTCCATGGTCCCCAGCAAAGTGAAGGGGGGGGGCACAAGGATGCCAAGAAGCCCTGGGCTGAGACACACAGAGCACCACACTGTGTGTATTAAATCAGAGACTGGTTTGGGTTGGAAGGGACCTTAAAGCTCCTCCAGCTCCATCTCCTGCCACGGGCAGGGACACCTTCCACTGGAGCAGCTTGTTCCAAGCCCCTGTGTCCAACCTGGCCTTGAACACTGCCAGGGATGGGGCAGCCACAGCTTCTCTGGGCACCCTGTGCCAGCGCCTCAGCACCCTCACAGGGAAGAGCTTCTGCCTTATCTCCAACCTAAATCTCCCCTGCTTAAGTCTGAATCCATTGCCCCTTGTTCTATCACTACAATCCCTGATGAAGAGTCCCTTCTTGCTTTAGCACTGCTTGGTGGCTATTCCCACCTCCAGCTGTGAAAGGCAGTGGAACAAACTGCGTATTTCTGGTTTATTTCTAGGATGCAGTGACAGGAAAGGTCCAAACCCAGGGTGTCCTGCAGAGAAAAATAGCTGAAGTTGGACAAGAAAAGCTCATTGCACAACTTGTCACTGGTGAGGAAGCATCGTGGGTTTCCACAGAGGGATTAAATACACCAGACCAGCTCCAAAACCAGGCTAACTCCTGCCCAGCTCTCTAGCAAGAGG